CCTAAACCCCTAAACCCTAAAGAGTTTGGGCCGTGTGTGATGGCTTCAGAGCCTTTTCAGGTCACTTGCTGCATCTGTACGCCGCCGGCCGTAGATGAGAGTATGCCCACAGTGTAATACCCTAAACCCGAAGCCCGAACCCTGGGCCCTATATGAGTGCCCAAGCTGGGTCCCCAAAGAAGATGCGGAGAAGGGAAGCCGGCGTAGCTAAAGTCGCATCGGGTGGCTTCCACCTTCTCTATGATGGCTGGTTCGATCGCAGTTCTATGCACAGACATGGGCCTCTGCATGCGTTTGTTGCATGAAGTTCAAGCGTTCAAAGCAAGAAGTTCTGTGGAGCTGTCTGGGATATTGTTCACGCAGCTTTGACTGTGTTAGGTTTAGAGCTTAGGGTCCTAAACCCTAAACTAAACCCCTAAACCCCTAAACCCTAAACCCCTAAACCCCTAAACCCTAAACCCTAAACCCCTAAACCCTAAACCCTAAACCCTAGGTCTCTTCAACCTCATTGCAAACGAGCCAGAGGTGTCTCAAGGAGGCAGGGCGATTGCGTTGTGCAGGGACATACCGGAGCTGCCCAGTCCCTCCCTTTACAGTAGGGTTTAGGGTTTGGGGTTGAGGGCTTAGGGTTTAGGGTTAGGAGCCTTAATAATTAGAATAGGGTTTTGGGGCCCTTGATACTATAATTGTAAGAAGGAACCTCCCAAAATAGCATAGCTAATTCTGCGACCTGGGGGTTTTCGAAAGTAGGGGACCCTAATATAGCACTCTAAATAATAGGACCCTTATTGTAAGGACCCCCAGAATAAGGTACCCCGAATTTTTTCGGAAACTCCCACCTTGAGGAAAGATGATGGGGGAAGTCACGCTTGTTGGATCCATCGTGAGCCTTCTTCTGTGCGGTTGCTACGTCCTCTGGATGATAACCTTCGGCAAGCCCGCGCGGCGCGGCTCGGCATGGTGCAAGTTACAGTTCAATTGTGTGGTGTTGACATTGTGTGGTGTTGACTTCAAGATCTGCATGGGTTGCTAGGGTCGGAGCAGGCGGTTCAGATACAGGCCAGGCTGAGATTCGCAAGACAAGCTTATTCAGAGTCTCCAGTGGCTCTAATGGGTTCAGGGTTTAGGGTTTCCTTAAACTTAAACCCTAAACCCCAAACCCTGAACCCTAAACCCTAAACCCTAAACCCCTAAACCCTAAACCCTAAACCCTAAACCCTAAACCCTGAACCCTAAACCCAAATCCTGGACCCCAAAGCGTGTTAACCGAACCATTCCTGAAGACCCGGACCCTTCCACACGAGTTCTGGTGGGTTTAGGGTTTAGGGTTTAGGGTTTAGGGTTTAGGGTTTAGGGTTAAAGGACATGCTGTAGTCCTGTTGAGCTCGTTTCGGGATTTACAGCATGTTTCCGTTTTGAGAGGGGCTTCCGAAAATAGGGAACCCGAATATATTCCCCAAACTAGTAGGATCCTTAAACCCTAAACCCTAAACCCTAAACCCTAAAACCCCAAAATGAGGTACCCCGGTTCCAACGAAAGTTCCTCAGCCCTCCACGGCCTTGAGTTTTGATCTGGTCGCCGGAAACTTATTTGGGTGGTTGTCAAAATTATGGTCCCTTTTTGGATTCTTATGATAATACGGCACCTATTATTTAGGGTACCCCAAAAGGGACCATCATTTTGACAACTACCCATTTATTATGGATAACCCTAAACTCCAAACCCTAAACCCTAAACTATGGGAATTATGGTATTAATATATATATATATATATATATTCTCCCGATTATGGGGAGACTGCAGGATTTGACGTTCGAGCGTTACCAACAGGAGAGCCCGAGCTCCAATTTCGGGGATGGAAAGCCACCCACCAGCTGTTAGTGCTACTTCTGCTGCTGCTGCTGCCCGCCGCTCCTGCTGGTGCACTGGTGGTGGTGGTGGTGGTGCCTAAACCCTAAACCCTAAGCTCGGCAGTAATGGCCGCCTTTGACGGCATGACCTTTTGCTTTTTCCCCCTCTGGTGCTTCCAGGCACAGAGCAACGGTGGAGCTCCGGGCTGATCGTTCTTGGCGTGATCAGTGCTCTCGGCTTGAATTAGGGACCCCAAAAGGACATAGGCATAAGCCTTTTCGGTTTAGGGTTTAGGGTTTAGGGTTTTATAGGGATCTCCCTACCCTATGGGCTTCATTATAAGGGAGTTTATGTGGGCTGTCCCTATCCTAATTTGAACCCCTGATGTGCTTTTTTGGGGCCCTATTGAAATGCCGAGGGAGTTTCCACGGTTTCAGGGTCATGGTCTCTTAGGGTGCTGGGCTTCAGATGTAGGTTGGAGGCTTCAGATGCAAGGTTTCTAGCTGTTTGGGGTTTGGGTAAAGGAGCCGAGATGTCATTTCGAACTTCTCCTTGAGTGGCTTTGGAGTGAAGCTTTGAGTTCAAGAAGCAGTAGCCGCAGGAGTAGGAGTGTAGTGGTGGTAGTAGTAGTAGTAGTAGTAGTAGCCGCCGTAACCGTAGCCGTAGCCCGGAGTAGCAGATTTCGATACCTGATACCTTGGCATGGCTAAGCCTCGAACCTGAACCCTAACCCCTAAACCCCTGAACCAAAGGCATGACCCACTTTAAAAAAAAACCCTAAACCCCTA